TCAGCTTTGCACAGAGATATTTTGCAGCACCACAAGGACAAACACATTTTAAGTTTCCAATAGCTCCATCTACTGTTGTCACTGCACCTCTTTTTCTCCTCCACCACCAAGTCCTCACACACACTCAACTTCCAGTTAAACCCATTTTGTGAGCATTTTAAAGCTGAAACCCCCCTGACAGTTCTGCCACTCCAGTTTGTGCCAACTCATAGAATCACACAATGTAGAACTCTACATAAATTGCCAGGAGTTTTCAAGACTTTGTCAAATACAATTTTAAAGATACAAACAAGAGACCTCTAGGACAGGCCTTCTCTTCTAGCACAGCTGATACACCAGCATTAAAGTACTCTGACGTGGCCCCAAGGCTGCAAAAGCAGAAACAGATCTGCAACTAAATAGACAGTAAAATCTAGTAAAGCTGACCAAAAAAAAAAAAAAAAAAAAAAAGGGGGGGGAAACAAAGCTTGTTTTGGTAACATGGAAAAAAAAAAAAAAAAAAAAAAAAAAAAAAAAAAAAAAAAAAAAAAAAAAAAAAAAAGTGGAGTGGAACCAAGTCTAGTCTGGTCAACATGGTGTGGCTTCATAACTGACTCCAGACCTGCAGACCTGTGTGTGTTACTGTAAGTCATTTAATCATTTGATCCAAGTCAGACACAGGCAGAACTGTATTTCTCTCAAATTAGTCAGGTGGCTTGTTAGAGAGTTGATAGTAGTGGTATGCTGGCTGCAGGACAGATATTCCCTGGGACTGCCAGTACAACATCAACTTCTGACAAACTTAAAATGTCAGGATAAGTGCAGACACCGCTTTGCATTGTGGGCTCAGAAATCTTTTTTCTGCCCTATTTGATGAGTACTTAAGCTGGAACTTCTGAGAAGGCAGAAGACAGGCACCATCCAGGCTTCGTTTGCCATGACTGCTCCTGCTAGGGACCAGGAAGGACCAGAGCCCAAGTGTCCAGGTACTGGAATGGATCCTGCATGGCAGTGGTGAATGACTCACTGGCAGGTGGTGTAAAAGAGGATTCTTCTCAGTAACAGCCAAGCACTGGGAGCAGCTCTCCTGTCCTGTGTCCTGCTAAGAGATGTTTCCAGTCCTCTGGAAGCCCAGAGGACTGGAAACTACTCCTGGTGTATAGCCTTTGACTGCTCCCAACCCCTCATGCTCTTCTTCACCCTCACTGACCTGATTTGACAGGGAAGGGAATGCTCTGGGGTGGAAGGGCATGTAACATGCAGAGGATGACCAAAAGATTGAGACCTCAGGGCATGCATGAGATGCACAGATCACACACATGTGACAGCAAAGAGGCACAGCCTTCAGCCTTGCCAATCAACTTCTCCCTTCTGCTAGCAATTCATGTCCCACAGATGAATTCCAGACTGCTTGGAAGGGAGAAGTGTCTGTAAAATGGAAAACCAACTTATTTTCTGGCATTTAAGAGAGAAATCTGGCTTCAAGAAAATAAGCCTTTTCTCCAGTTTGAGTTTAGTGGTAATTTCCTTCACAGACAGCACTGTGGTTTGTTAAGCCTTCAACTTGAAACTTGTATTTCAGAAGCACATTAACATGTAATTTTAGCCAGTTTCTGTGGGATTCCATGAATAGGAAAACCCAGGTGCTTGAATGAGAAAGCCATGATTTTTCCTGGCTGCTTTATGGGAGGTATTGCAGCCAGGTAATAAGATTGGCCATACACAGTAGAGACCAGGCAAAACCAACCTTTCTACGGTATTATAGAAATCTATTAGATCCTGTAGCTATTTCCTAGCAGCAAAAATCCACTGCTGAGGTAGACAGTTGGACCCTAACTCCCCCTGTGCAGGAATCTTAGAAGTGACAGGTTCTTCAGCCTTACCCTGTAAAAGTAAACTAAATGGAAGGACAATTAGTCCTCTTTCTTCAGAGGAACAATTCCAAGCAATACTGCTTTCCTCTTTGTTTTGGAGGCTATTTAATTCTAGCAGGGTCAAAAATGGCAAACACTATCATTTTTCAAACAAGGTGTTGGGCTCTCTCTGGCTGTCCTGCTTAGTTTCATTAACCTGTCTCTGTTTATGATACATCCATAGACCACAATTCTCCAGCCAGCAGTACTATTTTTCACTGATGTACTTCATTTGTGGCTTCCAACAGTTTCTGCTTTCCTGGATCATGAAAAGGAAATGTCCTTCACTTCAAGCCAGCTGTGCAGTCTCACACCACTGTTCCATGTCACAGGATTTCCAGCAGCACTGTGGCTCCCTTGTCACTGCATCAGGCTCTAGAGCAGCACTGCTTCACAGCTCTTTTGTGAAGTACTCTGTGTATAACTGATAGCTTGTTTTTGTCAATTACTAGTGTTTTTAATTATAAATGTGCATTATTTAGGCTTATGGAGTGTAAATAAAAGCATTAATTTAATACACCAACTTATAACACACAGCAAAGCCGCTTCACCAAACAGTGATAATCTTTGCTCCATACAGACATGGAATAAGAGCAATGTCACCCAACAGGCTGGGAGATAGAGTGGAAAATTCAGCCTGAGAGGAGGCTGAATGGGAGTGGAAAGTGTAGAGTACTTGGCAGAAAATTTTCCTATATTTTCAGGAAGACTGAAGAGGTCTCCTTGAGCATGATGGCATCTGCTGCCTGAACAAAGACACAGGAGTCTCTTGGAGTGTCCTCCATCTTCTCTCTCCATTAACTCAATTTATGAGATGTTTTAGACAGCATTCAAGGACCAGGCTTGGAAGTGGCAATTACTCTGCTGTCACAGGTTTTATATCTTTACTCTCTATTTATCCTACAGTCTCACTCTGACCTTGTATGTGCTCTAAGTGAGGGGGTGAATAGACTGAGTGTAGGATTTAGAAAGTAAGAAAATTTGATTCTTTCTTCAGCTGTTGGTCCGTTCAGTATCAGCTTCACCTCAGACAGGCCAGGATAGACCCTGGATAGGACCAGGATCTGTGACAATTTTATGAATACACCACACAACACCACAGCCAGTGAAAAGTGAATGTTATCCCATCCTTGTGAACCAGCTGTGGAGACAAAATTTAGCAGCACCTTTTTCAACTTGGCAGTAGCAAAGATTCCTTTCCTTTCCATTAAGGTTTGTCCCAGGCTCCTTGGCAGACAAATTTTTCAAGTTCCCTTGAACATGACAACAGGAGAAGGCTGCTGATACAGGGGGATTTACTGGACCACGGACAGGAATGACATTAAGCTCAACTAGACACATTTAATGAAGAACACAGATGTCAGACCACCAAAGACAACATGCCAGGCCAAAAGCATGAAGGCTGGCCACAATCCCTGATTTCCTTCAGAAGGACATCCAGCGCCTATAACCAACTGCCAGGAAAGTAAAGAAAGAGGCTGCTATGTCATGTACCAGTTACGATTCCTTTTCAGATTTTTGAAGTTTGCATACGAAGAATTACAACTTCTCTAGAGGACACGCATGAAGAACTAATCTAAAAAAAAAAAATTCTAAATAGTTAAAACCATAAGTATTGTTTTCCCAACAGCTAAAATTGGAGTGACTTGACAGCTCGATTATTCAGGGCAGTGTGACAGCAAGGGAGGTCACCCCTACCATTGAGCAGAGCACACACGGGGTGCTGCACTGGAGAACCCCCAGGTGCATTCCTCCTTCTCCTGGCACTACTTTGGTGGCTTTTTCCTAGATGTAATTGAAGGCCACAGCTTTACACTCAGGCTACAGTTTCTTCTGAGAACTAGGATCCCTACAAACTCCTGCTTCTCAAATTCTTCTTCTTTGACACTCTGCTGTTGCTGGTGAGAAGCTTTTCTTCTGGCCTCACACTCAGCTTCTCACCCTGAAATTCAGGTTCTTGACACTCCAGAGAACCACATGGTGATGAAATCAGATTTCCCAGCACTGGTCCCATCTTTCTGAACACATGAGAAAAATTCAATCAATAAGCAATGCCTTTCTTACTCAACACAGTAGAGGTTTTCACATCTTTCAGTCCACAGATTGAAGTGCCTGATTTCCTCCTTAGTCCTGTTCCTCCCTTCCTGGGATCAGTGCCTCCAAACCACATCTGACCAAGCTTCAATCTAACAGGAATCCATGCAGCCAGCACTCCAGCCTAGGTCAGCTTGTACTGTCACTCACAAACACATTTGCATAGGAGTCATGACAGACTCAAATCTGACAAAATTCCTACCAGAAATCTTGGCAAAAAGAAGGAGCTGCAAAATATAATTTTGGGAACATACAGGAAAGGCATGAACACCCTTCTTGGCAGCCAGCAGCAGTCAGGACAGAGTTGGAGCTGCAAAAAAGGCTGATGGTAAGGCTCCTTGAGAAGACCAGGAATACACAGCCAAGTGATGCCAACCCAGCTCCTTTTCCAGTGTCCAAGCTCCTGGACCGTCTATAAAACCATGTTGTTTTTAATTTATTTTCACTTAGAGACAGCAAGCTTCCAGCACTTGTAGCAGAAGAGTCTAGAACATTTCAGGATATCCAGCTACAACTGACCCAAACACACCAGAAGAGCTTCTCCACTGGGGGCAGAGCAAAGCCTTTGGAACTTTGAGGCAATCCCATCCCTACACGACATTTGTCACTTTTTTCAGTAGCTCCGTGATACACTTTTTTGACAACAACCGTCCGGGACGAGCTTCCCACTACAGCAAGGACATCGCTGCTGCATTTGCGCCGTGCCCGCGGTGCCTGGTGCCGGGAGCGGCGCGGGACACCGGGACGCGGGGGCCGGGAGAGGGGTGGGAGCGGGAATGAAGGAAAGGCGGGGCCGGGAGCGGGGCGGGATCCCGGGATGGGAGCTGGGGCGGGATCCCGGGATGCGAACTGGGGCGGGGCCAGGATCGGGGCGGGATCCCGGGCCGGGAGCGGCATCCCGGGCCGGCGGCGGGGCGGGATCCCGGGGCTGAGGCAGGGCCAGTCCGGCGCAGCGATTGGTGCTGGTTTTCCCATCCCGTGACGCCGCGCCGGGCGGTGATTGGCTGCGACCGCCCCGCGCGGGCGTGGCCGCGGCGGTGACCGGGAAATGGGGCCATGGCGCCGGGCAGCGCGCAGGGAGCGCCGGCCGCCGGCAGGTACGTGCACGGTCCCCCGCCCTCACCGCCGCCCGCGCTCCCCGGGGCGGCCGCCGCGGGTGCTGGACTCTTCACGGGGCCGCGGCGCCGCCTCTCCCTTCGTGCGGCCTGCGCGGGACGCGTGGTGGGCCCGGCGGCGCCGCCGACGCTGAGGGGGCCCGCGGTCGTCGCGGGCGGCCGCCGGCGAGTGATGGCGGCTTGTGGTTCCTTCCCTCGGCAGGAGCGGGCCCGGGATGGAGGGCGGAGGCCCGGAGGCGCACAGCGTGTGCATGGTGTCGGACTTCTTCTACCCCAACATGGGGGGCGTGGAGAGCCACGTGTACCAGCTGTCACAGTGCCTCATCGAGCGCGGCCACAAAGTCCTGGTGGTCACCCACGCCTACGGCCACCGCAAGGGCGTCCGCTACCTCACCAGCGGGCTGAAAGTCTACTACCTGCCCCTGAAGGTGATGTACAACCAGTCCACGGCCACGACGCTGTTCCACAGCCTGCCCTTGCTCAGGTACATCTTCGTGCGGGAGCGGGTGACCATCGTGCACGCCCACAGCTCCTTCTCGGCCATGGCCCACGACGCCCTGTTCCACGCCAAGACCATGGGGCTGCGGACCGTGTTCACCGACCACTCCCTCTTCGGGTTCGCGGATGTCAGCTCGGTGCTGACCAACAAGCTGCTGACGGTGTCCCTGTGTGACACCAACCACATCATCTGCGTCTCGTACACCAGTAAGGAGAACACGGTGTTGCGAGCAGCCTTGGACCCTCGGATCGTCTCTGTCATCCCCAACGCTGTGGATCCCACCGACTTCACCCCAGACCCCTCGAGGAGGGATGACAGCACAATAACAATTGTTGTTGTCAGCAGACTTGTTTACAGAAAAGGTAATGGGGGATCAAATGTAGGCTTGTTTTGGTTTTCTTCCCTTGGAGAGGTCTTGGTCAGGTAGCACTTAGGCTGTATCTGTGGTATGGATGGAATTTTCACTGGGAGTGGTGAAGTGGCTGTTCCGAGCTTTTGTGTTTGTGAGCTCAAGAAGAAGAAATGTACATTTGTTTTTGTACATGGTGGGTTCACAGGTGTGTTTCCTTTTTAATACTGAAGAGACCAAAAACTGCAGTTTGTAAAATGGAAGGTTTGGTGCATATTGGACATAAGATTTAGAGCCTAATCTATATATTCTGTTAGAAATGTTTTAATTGTTTTTAAGTTAATCTAGTGACTGCAACTTAAGTGATTTTTTTTTTCATTTTTTTTCTCCTATGAGGTCCCAAGTTGTGGTTTTTTTTCATATTTTTGTGTAAAATAGTTTAACTGTCTTCAGGAGACTTTTTTTTTTTTTTCATTTCTTCTGCTCCTGAATATAGTTGTACATGTGGGCTACATCATGAGAAGTTCTGAAATCAAATACAATAACGGTTTGCCCTAAATTTTCTACTCTTAGGTATTGATTTACTTAGTGGTATAATTCCTGAGCTCTGTCAGAAATATCCGGAGTTACATTTCTTAGTTGGAGGAGAAGGACCAAAACGAATCATACTGGAAGAAGTCCGGGAGAGATACCAGCTACATGACAGGTTTGTTCTGCGTGTGTCCATGACCCTTCAGGGTGCTTCTGGGGTGGGGACCTGCCTGCCTCCCTCCCCCAGATAAACCCCAAAGCTTGAGGAGGCCTAAAGGCAAGGCACATAAACCAGACGTTGAAGACTTTGAGCTGGACTATGGTCCAGCAAGTTAATTCATATTTCTATGAATAGGCCCTGAATGAGCCTCCACTCAAGGCATAGAAAGGTGACTTAGATAGAGATTTATCATGCCTCTCTCTGCAACTGTGCTACCTTGTTACCAGAATGTTGCCATGACACAGATGCATTTATGTATTTCTATTGGGTTTTTTTGATCAAGAACAGTTTCATATTCTCAGTTGTTCATTTTATTTTCTAGGTTTTTTGTTGCCTGTTTTGTGTTTTAGTCAGTGACTTCCCCAATTAAAATTGTCAGTATCGTTCTCATTTTACCCTTTATTGTTTTCCAATATCTCTTCAAGATGATAAGTCCTGATCATTGTATCTTAAAGACTTTTTCCCTTGTCAGACTGAGATTGGTCAGAGCTCACATTGAAAATTCAGATAATGCATTTGACAAATCTTAATTATTAACTGAAGGAAGCCATTTTTTCTTGCAGAACTGGAAGTCTCAGTAGCAAGGTTCTGGAGGCAAATGTCATTAAAACAACAAATCCTCCCACCAGCTTTATTTTCAGAAGTTTATTTCAGTATGACAATAAAAAAGCAGGATCTTCTATTTCTCCATTGCTGGAAAATTTTAGAGGAAACTAAACTGAGGTGCCCATCTTTGTTCTCTCACGAGATAAGTGTGAACCATTCAGAATATGTGGCATTATTATGGTCCAAATCTAGTGTTTATCTCTAGGGTCTTTTTTCTTGTTTTTTTTTTTCCCTCTTGTATGCAGGGTGCGTCTTCTAGGAGGCTTGGAACACCAGGATGTCAGAAATGTCCTGGTCCAGGGGCACATTTTTCTCAACACTTCCCTCACTGAGGCCTTTTGTATGGCTATTGTGGAGGCAGCAAGCTGTGGTTTACAGGTAAAAAAAAAAAAAAATCTCCCTACCTAGAAAGCATGTATCCATTTTAAACAAATTTCACAATGAAATAATATGTGCCTATCACATTGATTTCATCTGACGCTCTGTCTTGACAGAGGTAAGCAAATGTCATCGCCATTTGCAGATCACCTGGAAGCTGAGACAGAAGGGTTAACTCTGAGAAGAATTTTGTGTAGAATTGGCAATAACTTGTAGATCTACTCTCAGTTCTCTGAAGTAGTCAAAATACTGTTTTGTATGTACTTCTTTACAGAGTTTTGGGGTAGTTGAGGTTCACAAAGGTTTACTTCAAAAGGAGGTGCAAAAAAATTGTCTTACTGTGGAGGGATTCAAGATAAGTTGGAGAGAGAACAGTAAAAGTCCTAACTAATTTACAGCTCAGATTAACAACTCAAAAAGAAGTTGAGTCAATAGCCATAAAGAATTAGTTTCACGTAAACGTAAAGTAAAACGTAAAGAAACCTTATTAAAACGTAAAGAAACCTTATTAAAAAGATAGACTGATAAGAGTACTTAATTTACAGTAAGTATAGAAAATGTGAGTGACCTCAGTTTTTCCTTTACTTCAGTATCCTTTGACAGCAGTTACTACCTAGTTGTAGTTACTCTCTTGCCATCTCGTCTCTAGAGGTGAGGAAGTTCTGCAGTTTCTTATTGCCCAATGTTTAGAGATGATTGCACAATGTAAATCTTAGGTAATTTCTGATTTCCCTTTTAAAACAATAATTCAGATTAATATAAATAATTTTTTGCAAGTGTTCAGTAACCTAGGAAACTAAAATTTTAAGTATGTGGTAAAATTATCCTCTGCAACTAGAGGTAACAGTTTTTTTGAGATACTGTGGAAGAAATGTCTAAAATCTGGTTACACAGGTTTAGTTGTGTACTGTGGCACACACCTTCAGGAAGGATGTCTCATAACCTCTCATTAGACCTGTCTGATTAGTCTTCTGTTTTATCATGGCACCAGAGAATCATTCTGGACAGTGTTGAAGGTAATCTGCTATGTTTCGTTTTCTCTGGGGCTTACGCCTTTAGTTCACATACAGGTCAAGTTCCCAAACCATGATATTTTCCTATTCTTTTAAATAGCTACATCTAAACCATGTAATAGCATTGACTTCGCACAGTTTCGTTTTTTATGTTGCATGTGTGCTGTTTCTTTTGTTTATTTCAAAGGTGGTGAGTACAAGAGTTGGTGGGATTCCAGAGGTACTTCCAGAAAATCTCATCATTTTGTGTGAGCCCTCTGTGAAATCTTTGTGTGATGGACTAGAAAAAGCTATTGCTCAGCTCAGATCAGGAACTCTGCCATCTCCAGAAACTGTTCATAATGAAGTAAAGACATTTTATACGTGGAGGAATGTAGCAGAGAGAACTGAGAAAGTATGTATAATCACTTCTTTTAAATTCCCTGAAAGTAAATTTCTGAAACAATTCTTGCTTTGAAATATTACTATGCATGTTCATTGTGTAATATTCCATTGTAATTGTTCAACATGTTTCCTGTCAAACATACATAGTTTTAAAAGGTCCAGAAAATGCTTTTTTTTTTTTTTTTTCCTACATGGATAGGTGGATTTTTCTGTTTGTATTTTCTAAAATGCCATAATTGCTGGTAAATATTTTGAAGAAAAGCCTAGATCATTAGCTAGATTTCTACTCTTTATTTGTTCAAGTCTTGACATGAAGTAACTTTTCTGGCATAGCTGGAAAATGTGCTGCATAAGGTGTATGACAAGGTAAGAACAGTTCATGACAAAGCTTTGCCATGTGGTAACAAGTGGTTTAAGAGGTAGTTCAATGCTGGAAGGCTGAACACAGCTGAGTTTACATAAGCCGTGGTTGTAATGAAAATTTATTTTCATAGTTTGGAAATTATATTTCAGAACTAGAGTGGCACTTCAGTAGAAAAACTCTGCCTTCAGTGAAGAATGTTGGCTGCAGTAATGTTACAAACACCTGTGGAGCTGTGTCACTTTGGACTTCAGCTCCTGAGTTTTAGGAAGGAGAGAGTAGCTGACCCCCATGCCTCTTACTTAGATTGTACTGCACTCAACTGTATATCTCTCACAAGCCTCCTCAAAGTGTACAACCAGTTTATTTTATTATTTTCAAATGTCATTAGTATCATTCATTTTATGATTTTGTAACTGCAGGCAACATTTGAATTGCAAAGTTTTTACAGACGTTAGCCTAGATTTCAGTTTGCTTTACATTGCCTTTTCTTAAAAAAAACCCACCAATACTTCATGAAGGAAAATACTCATAGAATTGGTAGAAGTATGCATAGATCTTAAATTGTACAGAAGACAGTTGTTTGTTATCAAATTAAGTTACCTGTAGAATGGAGTCTGTAACATTCTTAGGGAAATAACTGTGTCCTTCAAGCCTGTTTGGAGTGGTTTGTAGTTGGCTGTGGTTTACCTGTATAATAAGTCACTAGTAGCATGTATTTGCTTGTGCAGTAATTGAACTACTGTTTTATCAAACAAAAGGAGATCTGGAATAGTGCCAAACTCACCTGTGAGTTCATCCATCTTTGTGTTTGAAATCTCGTAATTGCATGTTCAGGCTCTTCCTGGGACCAATGTGAATGTGAGATGAGAACCCATTAAATCCATTAAAACCCCCAACCCTTTCTGTATAATATCACGAGAGACAAATTATGCAGCCTTCCTAGTTAATTAAATACTTTTGAAGTATGTAAAAGAAGAGAATGTTTCATATTTCTCCTTAAATAAATGAATGAAATATCTAGAACAAGACTCATAAAGCAGCACTTAGAATCTGCAAAGCTTTTTGGGGGGTAATATTTGTCCCATCTGGTAGCTAAGACTAGATCATTTATTTTGTGAAGTGATGACAAAGTACTGCCTGATTTTTGAGGTAGAATCAATGCATTTTTAAGATGTTACTTTCTGTCTCCTCTCTGTTTAGGTGTATGACAGAGTTGCAGATGAAGTGGTTTTACCAATGAAGGAGCGACTTGACAGACTAATGACTCACTGTGGTCCAGTGACTGGGTGTATTTTTGCTTTTTTTGCTGTTCTGAACTTCCTTCTCTTGGTGTTTCTGAGGTGGATGACTCCAGATTCCATTATTGATGTTGCAATAGATGCTACAGGACCTAAGGGTGCATGGACTAAACTATATTTTTTTGGGAAAAAAAGAAGAGATAAAGAAGAACTTCCAAATTCCTAAATTGCTCAAGTGGAGAGGGAAGAATGTCAGCCACTAAAAGTTTTAATGCTTGCTGACAGAGACATTACTCTTAAAACTCTTTAGTTTCTTTCTGAAGTTCTTGGAAAGAAACTTAGTTCAATGTGCTACCTCAATTTAGGATGATGTTCTTAGTTCAGTTTTGGATTCATACAAATTTATGGGCATCTCTTTTGCACTGAAAGCTGGGAGGAGAACGTGTTTTTATATATATCAGAAGCCTTGGAAACAAAAATACAAGATTTTTCTTGATAACTTGAACATTGCAGAAAGGGACTGAGGTGTTTGGGAAAGCAAAACGCAACAATTCTTAGCTTACTGTAGTTCCTGCTAATCCCTGATATTTACTGTGATTTTTATTTTAAGACCTCTTTCAAAATAATTAAAAGCTCAACAAAATACACCTTTTTTCTCCCAAGATGAAAATGGCACTTGAAATTAGTCATAAAGTCCATTACCATGTAAATTTCAGAGACTTAGTTTTAGCAGTTGTGTCCCAGTGACAGTGTTTTGCCTGCCTAGCATTATTATTTTGAAGTTCTTCCCTATTCAGAGTTGCACATACTGTTGCTAAATCAACATTCCGTAATGATTTTCTGATATTTTCAGAGGTGCTAAATTTGTCCTGTTCTCATACATGTGTGAAAATGATCTAAAGCTTATAGTGGTTTTGGATTTTGTTTTTGTTTTTCGGTACATAGGGGAAGAAATAGTATTATTTAGAGATAATACAGCCTTTAGAAACATCTCAGGCCTGAAAACTTCCAGCAGTCTGTGCCAAAGTGTGAAGTAACACGTGAGAGAGCAAAAACTGAAGGGCTTAAAAAGCACACTTGTGCTTACCTGCTCTCTCCCACCTCCCACCCACCCATCCCTTTTCCCCCCACTTCTTTCTCCTTCCCCTTACTTATGACCAAAGTGGCATTTCAGTCCATCTCTGGGAGGGACAGTGTTCAGGGTGAGTGATTTCACCTCATCCACATCAGAGACACTGGCTGGCAGGTGCTGCACGTGAAATCTTGGGAAGGTATCCCTTAAGTGGAAATAACAATGGCTGTGCTTTTCATGGAGAGGCAGAGAGAAGGAGCAGCAGAGGAGTCTGAGTGGTGTGTACGTGGGACAGGAGGCAGCGCAGCATTCTGCCAATGTATGTGAGAAGAGGAGTTTATTTCATTTGTGTCAACCACCTCTAAAATTGCCCCTTGTCTGATGCACTGGGTTAGTTTCTTTTTCAAGCATCACTAATGATGATAAGCTTCCTATTTTATGACTCTGGAGTATTGTGTGCTGTTGGACACTGTATTAATATTAAAACTGTGCAATATGAAAACACTGTTTCCAAACCCTTGAAGGGTAGTATTTAACACACTACTTCTGCCAAATTCATGTTGTTTGGGTAGAGATGTAATTACACAAGCATTTTATAATTTCATTGAACATATTTTCATGAAACACAAAGATAATGTAAATAATTGCCATATATAAAGTCTATTTTCTTTTACTAGAATTTTTAGCCTTTGATATGTAACATACAGCGTGTAATATTACAATTTGAGTTTTTCAAACTCTGCATTAAAAAGTGGAAGTCATCTAAAATGTGCCACGAGATTTAAGGATAAATGGGTAGAATAAGCTAGTATTCTACTTTTCTAAGTTTTTGGGTTTTTTTTATATTGTTCAAGCATTCAAATTTCTAACAACCTTTTGAAAATACTGATTGCCACTCCAGGGAAATGTTATATATATATATACGTGTGTGTGTGTAATTTTAGTAATATGTTGTTTGTTTTCTTTTAGTTCTGTTTGGTTTCCTGCAACATCTGCAAACACAAATCAAAAGGATTGCGTGTATCTATTTAAAATAAGATTTCTTTTGTGGAACATTGTGTACTTACGAATAACATAATAAAACCTTGTTATAGTCTTGTTTACAAGACCAATGTAAAGATTATCTAGAGGTTTATTTACCTTTCCATAAAGAATGGATACATTTCATTAATATGTGGGAGCATATAATTAGAAAATACAAAACTACAAACCATAATGCTGCTTTTCACCACTGGTTGTGGGAGTTCTTACGAGTATATTTTTTAATAATCATCTTTCTGTACAAGCTGCTATACAAACTTAACCCATAACTGGTTTCTCAGATAACACCACTTGTATTACACAGAACTCTGTGGGAATGATTTGCTCACTGGCCTTGTGCAGTGGAGTAAAGGGTGATGCCACAGAAACATTTACAGTTTTACAAAATATCAGTGGGTAACATGAAAAAGTTTAAATAAAATAAGCAGAATACTAAAAAAAAATACTGAGATAATGAGTGTGGTTAGAAATTAATAAAATAACTTGTTAAAAAAATTAAAATGTTTTAATTGTGCTTGCAGGTAACATTTGATTGTTGTGAAATGCCAGGGAAATGTTAGGAAAGAGAGAATGACACTCTAAGCAATGTCTTGCACAGAGCAGAGCCTCTGGTGTGTAGGAGGAGCAGGAAGACCTGCATAGAATGTCCCTGTCCCAAACTGCAATGAAATTCCATCCCCAGGCACAAGGAGAAATGCTGTTTCCAATACACTATGTGCAGACACTGTGAATTAAGGTAGTGAAAATTGTAGGTTAAACCATACAATACACCATACAAGCATCATGTAAAGTGTGGATATAATATTAGTCTTTCAGACTGTGTTTTAGTGGGTGTGGATGTATCTGTAAGAAGGTAACTACTGTAATTTGCTTGTTTTGTGGTCAATTTTTTCTGCATCGGTTTATATTTTTTCCCTTTTTGATATTAATTTCTCTTTACTAGTCCCTTTTTCTCATATATGCTTGGGCTTTTAAAAATTAATTGTAAAAGTCTTTCTGGTGCTTTCTGCTTCAGTAAAATACAGACTTCATGTAAACAGATAAAAGAATAATTTCAAAATGGTTTAATATTTTGATTTTTTTAAATTAAAAGTATTTCAATATTTTTAGTGTTTAATTGCTGTCATTAAACTAGTCTCATGATATTTGCTGTGCATCATGACATTCAGTATAATGTCAGCTTCCAGTTTTCTCTAATGACTTGAACATTGACAGAGATAAAAGGTGGATATTTTTTAAGGGAATAAAACTAATGACAGGATGTGGCTATGTGTCTGAATTTATTAATTTACCGAAATCATACATTTTTCTTGTAAACCTAGCAGGCAGATCAGGTTGCTTTCAGATCCTGACATGCTTCAACACTGTCACAGCTCTAGAGATGCTACTTGTGCAGGATTCATTGAACTTGAACTGTGCATGTTGGTTCTTCAAGCTGCTTGTCTAAGCAGGAGGGACTGGTGCATTCCCTGGGAACACAGGCACTGGCTGCTGCTGGAATTTGCTGTCTTCCTGCCCAGGCAGCAGCAGGAGTTTCAATAACCAGACCCTACCCAGCGTGATGGGTGGCAGATAGGTGAGATGAATCCCACATTGGCTTGAGAGCAACCAGTGAGTCACTCTCCACATCTCTTTTTAAAAGGAATGTTGTAAGTGTGCTTGCCTAAGGATGTGAATAAGGCAAGGCTGGTGTGGGAAGTAGTGTCATTTATTAGATCAAGCTGCTAGAAAAGAACTAGCCAGGCTCTGTATGGGCATCTTTGTTCTCATCTCTTCTGTTTGAGTGTTTCTGACTCCTTTTTTTCCCCCAGTTGCCTTACTTTGACTGAATACATTGGATACTCTAATCCCAACTACATACATTAGAAATACACTGCTGTAATTCAAAGTGTGTGCAGCATAGGAATAGACCAATACCTCTTTGAAGTTCTTTCAGATGAGCATTCCTCATCCCTTTTCCTCATCCTTGCCAAATTCTTCAGGTCACATCTGGTATTTCTCCCTAGAAGTTGGATAAAGTTAAGGTGAACCTTACTGAAAATGAGTGGTTTTCTAAGCTGGATTGCCCTTTTTTTCCTGCTTATTTCTTGCATGTGTGTAAACTAGCATATATAAACATTACTTTTTGAGTTTTTTGGAGGATCTAGCTAACTACCTCTATTTACCTTCTCATGACAATTTTTTTGAAGGATTAATATATTTTTGGATATTTTGATTTAACAATTTAGTAGTTATTCTAGAGTTAAGGAAGAGTGATTCTTGGAGTAGTTTGGGCATCTTGCAGCAGTTCTCAATGAGGTGTGTTTTTTCTACAGGGGGCTGACTTGTTCACTCAAGTCTATCAATGGAGTTGCATAATGCACCTGGTTCGGCTCACAGCAATGATGCTCAAAAGAGCAAGGGAGGAACGATGACAGTCCTGTGTCTGCACTGTCATTGCTCTTGTGATCTGCCTGCTCTCACGCCTACACCGTGTTGCTCATCTCTCTAGTTTCAAAAATACCAGAGATTTCTGTGTGATCACACCCGATCTTGCTGTTGTTTGCCTGACTACCACCCTCACCAGTATTTGTACTTTCCACCATGCTGTTCAGCTGTCTTCTCAATGATAATTTTCTTTTACATCCACTGAATTAATTTTCCTAGTGCTCTTGTACACTAAGAGCAGATTAGGAAATTACACAAGTTTTTCTCAAATGACTCACTGAATAATTTAACTGAAAATCTTTGTCTTGTACTGAAGCCAGGAGGGTGATTTTGCTGCTACACAAATAGAGTTAGTCCTTCTGGGAGAATAATGTTCCAGCAACTGCTTCCAAGCAGTCAAACTTTCCTGTGGTTTTCTAGAGCACTTGGCGAGCTCTTTGGTATTATTCCATTAGGGATAAAAGAACTTCAGTGGCAATCACCTGATTTTCAGTTTCTTGTATTTTTCTCAGTTTTATGGACATGTACAATTCTACATACCACCTATTAGGCTGATTGGGAAAGAAATCAATGAATTTCCTTTGCAACCAAAAGCCCAGTTTTCTCATTTTTGTCTTAAAATGTGCTCTTTCTTCTTGTTTGTCTCCTGTTGAGAACCAACTTTTGTAAATCCTACACAAGAAAGATTTCTCTGTTATTCAGGCTGGTTTTACTTTGTAATGGTCTTAATATTTTTTATGGGTTCTTTTTCTCTGCATCCAACATTTTGTTTTTTACAGCTTTTACTATTCCTCTGGCTCCAGGAGGAATGTTTTCTTTTTCTCAGATTTTTCTGGGCTGACCATTCTGTTCTTTGGTCCACCTTTTTTTGTTAATTTCTCCTCTGTTTCTCAGCTGAGCAGAATTAACTGCCAATAAACCAATATGTGTTTCTGTGATTCTTTAACTGAACTTCTCTTGTCCTGTAATCCATATCTTCAGCTGTCTGTGGCAAACTGTATTAAAGTGATTAAAAAGAAGAAATTTTCCTCTTTTGGTTTAAAAAGTATTATAGCTTCTACAGGTATTTAGTATTACTGTGTGAGGAAAGGTAGATGTAATACTTTTGTAAGGAGTTATGTAAGAATGTAATAACTTGGTTTAATTCAGAATTTTAGAAAAATTGTTTCACTTGAGAAAATTGCTTGGGGTGTTTTATCTCTGCACATATTTTATATAGCATTTTAGGGCACCTGGGAGGGCTGAGCACTGAAGACAGCGAGGTACTAAACCAGCTGTATTGCTATAAACCAAAAGAAATTACATCTAAAATACCCAGAGAAATAATTTGCTGTATAATTTCCATGTGCGTATCCACCATCTCTTTGGAACCTCTAAGAGAGGAATTATCCTGCTCTTTTCCTTGACAGATGTTGGAATTGAAGGCTAAGAGAACCTGGGCAAAGAGGGGAATCAAGTAAGAATTAAATACTCCTCCTGTGGTATATTTTCCCATAGGAAAACAGGAATAAATACAAGTTTAAAATAAAAAGAGATGGGGTGTTCTACATAGATTCAAATAAACACATGCAGAAAAAAACCCTTTTTTCTCTATGGAAGCCATGTGCCTTCAAAAAGAAAAAAAAAGGGCAGTTAAAGAAAGGGTGCATCTTGTTCAGTTTCAAATATTACACCTTTGAATCAATGGAGGATAATGTAAAAAGATTTCCAAAACAGGCAATGCTGTTTGCAAGTGATATCAATGGACACCATTCTTTATCCCTGAGTAATGGACAAAAATTATATGTTATGTGTTTCTTTTTGTGCAATTTCAATGTATTTTTCTCCTCCTAGAATAAGTTTGACTTCCTAGCTCTGGCTTTGGCCACGTGAATTTATTTCAAATTCTTTCATGATAAAGCTTTTCTTTGACCTGTTTGCCTTCATTCTCTATCTGAGTGCCAGCAAGGCCTGTTCTCAAGATGGAAAAGACAGAAGAGTATACTTTTTGCAGCATCTCTGAACAATTTCTGCAACTTTATCTACGTAGTCTTTGTAAATGGAACTGCTACCTCTAAGAATAAATCCAGTGTGGATGCATAGCCTTTCAGGTGGTATGGAGAGCATCTGTCTGAAAATTTATTCTCATTTATGTAGGTTTGGAAAGGATTTTCTCATTTGTTTCCTGTATGCAGAGATGTTCAAAATATCCTTGATACTGTTATTTAGCATCAAACACCTCATACCAAATACAACCAGGATGTATTTTTGGTAACTGAGGAACAGCAGGTCCTGAAGGGTTTAAAATAGATGACATATGATACCAAGAATAGCTCAGTGCAACTTATCCAACCTGAGAAACTATTCAAAGAGCAAACCAAAATGGAGGGCAGTTCTATACTCCATTCTTTCACTAACATTTATTTTGCCATTTTTGCTTTGTTTTGCTTCAAGCTTTTAATTAAGATTTCCTTGGCTTTGCTGACCCATTTCTATATTGTTAAAGGAAACAGAAAAGAAGCTGCCAGGATAGCAGAAGAGATCTATGGAATAGTCCCAGGTAAAGTAAAATATGGACTCTAACATTTAAATGTTTATTTGCCACATTTTTGTAACCTGAAGATTTAAATCACCAAGTCGCCATGAAATGAGGGATTTTTC